CACCATGGCCCGGAAGAAAATAATTTTTTCTTCTAGTGTGGCTGTCAATGTGTTAAAAAGAGAAAAAGTATACAAATTTATTGATACTTAAGGTGTATACATGGGAGCCTTCAGAATGAAGACCCAAAGATACAGGGGAAATTATCCATTTTTATGCTAAGGTTCTACAAAGTATGGACTGCTGTGCAGAAACATGATTGGAGAAAAAGGGTGTGATCTAATCCCAACAGACTGAGTGGGGAAACCCAACAAGGCCTGTCTGTCTAGATTCTTCTTGACCTCTCTGACGGGGACTTATGACCTACAGTCAAGCAAGGTAGGTCAGATAACTTCTTTATGGCCGGTTTATAATTTCAGGTTTTATGGCTGCCTTTTGGGAAAAGGGTTTCTGGTTTTTATGACCTGCTCTGGGGAATAGGGATTCTAGTTTCCAGGGTTAGCCTTAGGGCAGAATGGGACTGACCGACAGGAGGAGAAAAGATCAGAGAAAACCTTTTGCTTCTGAGGCCTTCATTTTGGGGTACTGTTTTCTGAGCCTCACACTAAGACAATGGTCTTAGCAAGGTCTTACACAAATTCTTCAGTTCTTTTAGAGGAAACATGATTGAATTTACACAACTCATTAGAGTCTCCTGTGTCCAGAGTGCTGCCTTGGACACCGGTTGGATCCGGAAGAAGAAAGTGGTGACGTGGAGAAAATACCAAGAAAAAATAAGGGAAAAGACAAAGATTTTTCCTTTTGAGACATATCTACCTGTACACGTTCAAACTTCAGCCTTCTGAATATTACTTCAAGTTTTTGCTGTATTCAAGTACCAATCCAACTACTCTTTTTGAGATATTTTGATTGATTTAATAATAATTTAACTAAACAGGTATTATGTATTCTAGTCTTGTTATAGTCATATATCTATAAAAGAAAATGTATATAGAAGTATATAGAAATTAAAATATTAAAAGAGGTCCATCTACTTATCACTTCCATTTTTTTTTTTCTTTTACAGACAGGATCTCAGGCTGGAGTGAGTGGCGCAATCATAGCTCACTGCAGCCTCGAACTCCTGTGCTCAAGCGATCCTCCTGCTTCAGCCTCCTGAGTAGCTGGGACTACAGGTACGCGCCACCACGCCTGGCTAATGTTTTTAATTTTTTGTAGTGATGAAGGTCTCAGTATGTTGCTCAGGCTGGTCCCAAACTCCTGGCTTCAAGTTATCGTCTAGCCTCAGCCTTGTGAAGTGCTGGGATCGCAGGCATAAGTCACAGCACCTGGCCTTTTAAATTGCTTCAAAAACTACTTTGTGAAATCTTGAACTTAAAATTTCTTCTTTCCCAAAGCTGAACCCAATTCTCAAGTATGGCTTCCTTTGAAAGAGCAAGTAGAACATTGGGAAACCTGTCCCCAGGGATCTCTTTCTCCTTCATCTTCTTGTCCAAGTCCTCACCATTGCTGGCCACATCGGAGCTCTCTCTGGCTCGTTCAGCACTGGGTCTATGGCTCTTTAGGGGGTAGCTTCTTAGTCGTTATCACTGCAATCGAGTGATCTTAGAAGTAAATTGGTGCTGATGTACACATCTCAGAGGGCCATGATGTGTAGATAAGTTTCCTGTCCTAGCTGTTGACATCGTAACCACCGTAGATGGTAGCTGATTATGGGTAGACAAAAAAGGGCTGTAGTCTTCAGAAGGTGAAACTGGATATTTGAGAGTTTGAAGAATAATAGCCCCCAAAACCATCACACCAAGGCTAAGCAGTGGGAGGTAGTTTAAAAACAAGAGTTTAGATACAGGAAGGTTTTGACTATGAAGAGATTTCCCCAAATAGAAGCTTAATGACTAACAGGCTCAGTGGTTAAGCCTTTCGTTCAGTTCCCAGTTCTGACAATTATTAATTTTATAACTTTGGGCAAGTTCACTGCACTCTCATGTATCTCAGCTTTCTCATCTGTAAATTGGGGAAAATCATAGGTCTTGTCTCCCTCATAGAATTGCTGTGAAGACTGAAGGGAAAAAAATATATAAGCAAAACAATTTAGCACATTCCTGGCACACAGGAAATGCTCAGTAAAGGTATATATTATTGTATTACTGATATTATTATTTTGATATTGCGACATCAGACAAAAAATCCTGGAATTAGAATAGACGGGACAGAACTGTTCAGGCGAGCGGGAGGCAGCGTCCACAGAGGTAACCTGGTGGTGCCTGCTCCCTGAGCCATGGCTGACTGTCCCCTCCCTGCTCGGGTCAGAGTGGGCTGCTGCAGTCCTACGATGGGGATGGGGACGGGGACGGCTGTGATGGTGACCACTCCATGACTCGTGCTGGGGAGATGAGAGGGAGCTGTGCTCCTGGCAACACCCGGCCCAAACAGAGGTTGCTGTGCCTGCCGAGGGCAGCCGGGTCGGAGGTGGTGCCGCAGTCCCTGGGTTACTTCTCTTCTTGGTTGGCTCAGCTTCCCCAGTGGGGAGAGAACCTGAGTCCAGCCGGCGGTGGCTGTCCGCAGGGTAATGTCACATAGCACCCTCCTTCCTCAATTTGCTCTTATCTAATTTGAAATGTCCCTATTATCATTTTCCTAGAGAAACATCAGCTCCCGGGATTTGACTGGCAGGAAACAAGTAAGGAAGGGAATGCCTGAGGAAAATTGGACTTTCTGGGAAAGGGAAGGTCATAGAGGAGGCACGATGGGGATGTGCCCAAGCCAACCAAATGCCTCCAAAATCCCCAGTAGTGATTGTACTGTCAAGCTGATACCCACCCCCACCCATAACCAAAATTCCACTTTTTTCTATCACTGGCATCACTATTCTCCTAGTCATCTGGAAATACAACTTGGAGCTCATCGGTGACTCTATTACAACACTCTCTCCACTCAATCGGTGACCAGGACTTTATTTTCTTCCATAAATTTTTCTTTCTACATCCTTCCCTCCCTTCTGCCAGCCCCCTGGGCTGGGCCCCCCTTCCTCACTCCTGCGACACCAAGCTCCCCGCTCTGCCTCTTGTCTTTTATCCAATCAATCCAGCTGCTCAGTGCCACAACAGCTTTTCCTAGTAGCATCCTGTCACATCCTTCCTCAAAGGACTTACTTTCCCTAATGCCTTACTTTCTAACACATGAAGTTCTGACTTTTCTGTGGCTTTGCCCCTTCCATGCCCAGCCCAGCCTGGCAACCACACCATGGCCCCAGCACAGGGCTGATGTAATCCAGAAATATTGCCAGGGTATCCTAATGAATTCGATTTTCCCTGAGTTGGGGACACAAGGGACAGAAGTGAAACACCTTCTTCCAGGAATGTGTTCACTTCACTGAGACTACAGGTAAGGGCTCGATAGGATGTGGGAAAGTGTGTTTCTGGCTTGGAATGCAGTTCGTACCTACTAACATTGATAATCCACCTTGGGTGGCCGTGAAGGAAAAAGGGACACCGCACCTGCCACGAAATAGCTTTCCATCGACAGGGAGATGCGAGCCCTCCGTGTAGCAGATTGCAGATGAAAGACAGAGGGCTCAGGAAAGCCTCACTCTTTTGTAGAAGGTATGAGACCCTGTGGGGCAAGCACAGGCAAATATTACCTTCATTTTCCAGATGACAAAACTTGCTTACATGCCTGCGAGTTTAAGTGGCTTGTTTATTGTCACAGAGCTAATAATTAGCAGATTAGGGTCTCCTAGTTGGGTGATCTTTTTAATGCATGACTCTGCCCTTCACCAGCAGGGCTGTGAAACACCTACAGAAACAATTAAGCATGCTTGGGAACAGTGTGAATGGGCACGGCTGTGGGGCCCCCTGGGAAAGGTGGCATTTGACCTGGGCATCGAAGAATCCAAGAGATTTCAATCAGAGAAATGTTAAAGCAAAAAAATGAAGACCAGGCCTGAAAATTTCCCGAGCAAACAAAACCAAAAGCCTTAAAAATAGCCTTATTCTTGCTTAAACCACAAACATAAGTGGAGCTTAACTTGGGTCATTTCTGATAAATGCTTATGTTAGAAATAAAACTTAACCCCCGCCAATCATAAGCAGCCAACTAACATATAATTTATGTGACTCAGGACTTTCCAACAAAGAACCTAAAAAAAGGCAATTAGATAACTTCAAATCAATCAAATAGTTTCTTATTTTGCTTCCACGTTCTCCCAATAAATACTTGCCTCTGACATTTTGTGATCGAAACCCTAAACCTCTGTCTGTCTGGCGTTCCCCAATTCATGAATTGCTTCTTACTCAAATAAAGTCTTTAAAATTTTATTGTGCCTCAGATTTGTTTTTTTTTTGTTTGTTTTTTTTTTTACTGAAGAAAAGAGAGACAGAAGAATAGACAGAAATAAAGGAACTTCTTGAGCAAAGTAACAGAGCAGGACAACAGGGGCAGCCAAGGGCAGCATTGCCTGGGGAGTGAAGCTCCTGCCCTCCGCCCTCCGCTCCCCTGAGAAGCCCAGATAAAGGAGGGGAGAGGCCTGGGTGTCCCCCCACTGATAAACAGGCTCCGCCCAGAGGCCAGAGCCTGCTTGGGAACGGGGAAGAGCAGCAGAAGTGCCCCTTCTCCGGGACCAAGGAACGGGGGTTGGGGCAGGAGGGAGGCTGTTTCCTGGATCCCAGTCCTCAGAGCCAGCACCTAGAACAGAACAAGAAAAGATTCTGGAGCCAGAGAAAAGGACAGAGAGATGGCAAGTCCCCTGGAGACACCATCTCCTTTTGGAATCTGAGGCCCAGGTTGGGAGTTGGGGGTGGCTGTGGGCAAAAGCCCTGCCCCCACTGGAGAGGAGGGAGCAGAAAGGGGGAAGGAGGAGGCGGAGGTGATCAAAGAGGGAGGGGAGAAATGGCACCTCCGGGAGAGAGGTCCGCTCTGAAGCTCATCTGGGAACACAGCCCTGAAATAAAAAAGAGTGTGTGAGTGCAGGTGCGCTGTCAACTGGCCTGATGAAACTCTCTTTGATGCACCCTCTTCTTGAACCATCCTCTTCCTCCTTCCCCTCCACTCACTTCAGGAGGGTGAGGACAAAAGTGAGGAAGAGCCAAGGGAACCCAGCCGGGGCCCCCGAATGAGGACTCTCCAGAGCCAGGAGGTAAGTGACCTGGAATACCCCGATGTTGTCACCCCCGGCTCCAACATCTCACAAACACTCATCCCCTAATGGCCTGCTTTATCTTTACCCAACACGGAGACATTCTGTGCTTCCTCATCTCCCAGGGGCTACACAGGGTTGGTTTAGGAAGAATCGGGAGAGTTCTCTCTGGATAAAGGGATAACCTAGCACTAAAAGATGCATTTTCCCTCCCCTCCCCTCTTCTCCCCATCCTGCTCTCTCCACCCTGTCCACTTTGTGTTTTTCACCTCCTGGTTTCGCTCCTCTACAGAACTCTCCAGAAGAGAGGCTGCCCACAGAGTGGAGCAGGCTGGGGGCAATGGCCAGGCGGGCACTGATGACTGTCCTGCTCCTAAGCCTGCTCCTTGCTGCTTCTGTGTTTCTGTTGTACACCTTCCAGAACTGTGGCCCGAGTAAGATCCCGGGACCCCCACCCTAGTCACCATCCTGCTCCCTGGGCTCCTGCACCCACCCTGAGCCTCCGACCTCTTCCCGCCTGAATCCCAGCCATTCCCTCCTGCCAGCCTCTCCGTCCTGTCCTCCCACGTCCCCTGCCTGGCCCGGGGCCGCCCTGGCCTCTGCCCATCCTTTCCAGCAAGCATCTCCCCCCAGGCTCCTGTGAGACACCCGAGTGCTGGGAACTCCGGGCTCTTTACCTGGCCTCTGGGAACAGCAAGGTGGACCCCTGCACCGACTTCTTCAGCTTTGCCTGCGGAAAGGCCAACGAGACCAGCGATTCCGTCCAGGCCCTTGCTGAGGAGAACAAGAGGCGACTTTGGAGGATACTGGGTGAGGAGAGCAGGGTGGACGTTCCCGGGCACGGGGGTGCCTCTGAGCCCAGAACAAGCCCTACATGGCCATGGGGTGACTGCCTGGCCTTGCCTCTCTCCCAATGTCCCGTCACCTCAGTTGCCCTCTCCCTGCTTCCATCTCTCTTGACCCCTCTCTTGATCTTCTTTTTCTCATCCCCATCCTCCTTCCCCTTTGTTTATCTGTGATTACAAGTTCCTCCTTTCAATAAGCTCCATCTTCTTTGTTGTTTCCCCCAAGTTTTCAATTTCTACTCCAGGCATGGTATCTCCCTCCACTGCATCCCCTCAACACCCCTGCCCTTCAGCTCTTTCCTCCCCCACCCAGTTCCTGAGCTTCAGACCCTCTGGTCTCCCAGGCCTCTTTGTCCACATGGGGCCACACCCCAGATCTCTGCTCCCACAGGGTCTCTTGCTTCTCATTGGAAGCATGACCATGCCAGCAAGCTGAACTGGAGCAGATGGGAGGAGGGAGGGATGGCTGGAGACGGTGGAGGAAGGGAAGAGGCAGGGCGGTGGCATGAGAAGCCAGTGGGGCTACACCACTTGTGGTGTGGTGCGTGCAAAGGCCTGAGGGAGTAAATGTCACTGGGCACACCTGGTGTGCTGGAAGGCGTGGAAGTCATCTGGAAGGCAGATGGAGGCTGTGAAGGAGAGAAAACAGCCACCAGGACTGAGGAAGATCAGGAGGAGGAACGGAGGCTGTGTAGGAGGTTGGAAGTGGGTCCCAGGAAGCTGGCGGATGGTGCTGATAATTGGGGAACAAGAATACATGGGACAGGCACGCACTTCCAGTTCTCCAACACCAGGGATGTGTCAATGGCATCATTTGGAATCTGGGAGAAATGAATGTAGCCCTCTGCCTTCCTTTTCTGAAGGGGAAAGTGTGGGAGGTTGACTCTCTCTTGGCGGAAGCATATTTTCGGTTAAGGTACAGAGATGAAAAGGAAGAATATGCTTAGGAGAAATTTCATTGTCCACAGTGGAACAAAGAGATTTGGGGGGACTGAGGGGAAGCGTTAGATATCAGAGGGTGGGTGATGCAGAGGGGTGTGCATCTGATTACGGTAATGTCTTCATTTTCTGGGATCCATGGATGAGGAGTCTGGACTAGGGAGTCCTCCCCTGTTTCTTCCCTTGTTAAACCTTTGCTTATGAGTTTTCTTCTCTCCCATCCCTCTAAGTTCTCTAGTTTCCTGAATTTGTCAAATTTTTTCATTCATTTCTCTCCTACCTTCCATTTCTACCCCTTTTCTACCCAAATCCCACATGTTCTTCTTTTTCCCCTTTCTTCCAAGTCTTTTCCTTCCTGTTTTCTTTTCCACATTTTGTTTATCTTCCTCATTGTCTTCTTCTCCCTCTCCCTGCTTTTATCCTTCCATCAAGTCGATCCATTTCAAATTGGGCAGTCTTCTCATCTTTCTGATTTCCCTCACCTCTGTTCCTCCCCTTCCTTCCATATCCTGTGGAGTCGTCCCTTCTTTCCTGTGCACTCCCTGTCTCCCCGGCTCCCTGTTGTCACTAGACTGGTCTCCACTCCTTTAATTCTCCCATGCTTCCTTTCTAGAGGCCCAGGGCCCCTGGCACCCAGGTTCGGGGGAGGAGAAGGCCTTCCAATTCTATAATTCCTGCATGGACACACATGCCATTGAAGCCGCAGGGGCTGGTCCCCTCAGACAAGTTATTGAGGAGGTGAGAAAAGTTGGGATATCGACTTTTCTGGATGCATAACATATAGGACCAAGGCTTGCTTGGGGCTGCCATTTTTTTTTTTCTAGAGGATGGGTCTTCTTCCTAGGGATCCCAAAGTTCTAGGAGGGAGATGGAGCTAGAAATGGCAATGCCCTGTGGAAGTACCAGGACCTTGGGTGAAGGCAGAGAAGGAAGGATAGACGTGGAGCCCCAGAGAGATCAAAGGACTCAGGGCAGAGGTCAGGGGGTGGCAGCTCTTTGAGAAAGACAAGATCAAGACAGAGGGGCAGGGGGCTCGTGGATCCTATGCTCAGCCCTCCCCTCCTCTTCTTCCCAGCTTGGAGGCTGGTCCATCTCCGGTAATTGGACTTCCTTAGAGTTTAACCAAACTCTGACACTTCTCATGAGTCAATATGGGCACTTCCCATTCTTCAGAACCTACCTGGGACCTCATCCTTCCTCTCCACACAAGCCAGTCATCCAGGTGAGGGGCACACTGGCAAAAGCACAGGCGGGCCTGGACCTGCCTCAACTCTAGCCTATCACCTCTTAGAGGAAGGCTGCAGGTTGGGGAAACAGGGAAAACATGCAATATAGAGACCAGCCTTATCTTAAGGGAAAATTATTAATATGAGAGTTAAGAACACTAGGTGGGGGTGGGAAACGGAGCAGCAGGGCCAGTCCTGGGAGGATAGAAGTAATTCTGGTCTTCCTTCCTGCTGATCTGAATTAATGCCAGAGCCTCTTAACTAGTCTTCCTATCTCCAGCATTTCTCTCTTATTTACTCTTCATTTCTGACAACTTTCTAAACCAAGAGCTAACTGTGCTGTGTTGTTTATATCTAAATGCCTCCAGGTCATCAGGATCTAATCCCTGTTCCTTAGCAAAGCATTGCAAGTACTTTGTGAGCCGACCCCACACTTCTCCAGCCTTATCTCCTGCATGTCCCTCTTCCCCTGACACCCTAAGCCATGCTGACTCACTGGTAGCGCCAAGAATATTCCTCCGTTCTTTGCATATGCTGCTCCCTTTGCCTGCAACAATCCCCCGCACTCAGCCTGGAAGACTCTTCTATATTTTTCAAATGTTGGCTTTGGTTATTATCTCTTCCAGGAAGTCTTCATTGACATCCTAGCTATGAAATAGGTGAAGGCCTTCTCTCCTCCCTCCCATTTCCTCCCCCTCTCTGCATTTAACACTCTGTACTGAAGACTGTGAGCCTCCTCAGCCCAGGACCATACTTATGCACCTTTGTTCCTCAGGACCTAGCACAGGGCCAAGCAGCTAGAGGCCCACACCAGGTATTTATTGAGTGAGCAACTATTAATAAATAAGAACATTGGTGCCATTACTGTCGTGGTAAGCAATGTAATGCTATCTATGTATTTTGCCCCTACTCTCAAAAATTCCACAAAATTATAAGAGAATGAATATACAAGAAGAACTTGTCATCACTATGAGGCATTCTAAAATTCAGTTCTAAAAAGTGTGCTCAGGAGTTTACCTGGTGTGGCTCGTAGGGGTCAGTTAAGATCTGAAGCAGCTAAAGAAAGGCTGAGCAAGGAGAGAGCGTGAGCTGAGCCTGGAAACACAGTTGGCTCACGCAGGTGAAGGCAGAGGTGGAGCTGTCCTCATTAAAAGGGCTGTAGGGAAATCCTGCACCCAGGGACGAACGTGGAATGGTGTGACTTCTCTGTTGGGTCCGTGAGGAGACAGGTCTGTTTAACTGAGGACTTGGGGCTGGGGGATGGTGAAGTAAGGCTGATGACATGGGTTGGGCCTGATTAGTTCTGGCCTAAGAAGCCAAACAGAGGTGATAACTTTTGACATTAATAGAAAAAAAAAAAAAACAGAAAACCAGCTACTGAGGCCAAATATTATGGTAGTTGTGCATAGAGCTCATGGTGAGTTAGCAGGTCAGCCTAGGGGCCCTAAAGAATCTAAATGAACACCCTGAGGTCCTGCGGTAGGGGTAGAAGTGGGAAGGAAGAACAGGCATAGGATTTAGGCAACTTCATCCTAGTGGTGACGGTGTTTCTAGAGGACTTTGTGACTGATTGAATATAAATGAGGGAAACAGAGGAATCACAAAATGATTTGATGGGAGTGGGAGGAGGGTGGTTACTGTCCATCAGCTTGTGCCTAGACGGACTCTCGGGGAAAGAACAGGTGGAAAGGATGGATGGGGCAGGAGCACCCCAAGGAGGGGCCGGGAACAGAAGGGAGAGAGAGAGTAGGAGCATGCAGAGAGGAGGGAACTGGACCCACAAGGACAGGCCATAGAGGAAAGGGGAGGAACACCAGGAAGGAGGGGTTTTCTCGGACTCCAGAGATTTCCAAGCTCGGAGAATGAGGAATGAGATAGTTTCCCAACAGTTGTGGAAATGGACTCATACTGTATGGAGTGAGATAAGGAAGCTGAAACAATGCACATGGATGCCTTTTGTTCCCTAAACTTTGGACATAAAATGTGACAAAAGGGTCAAGTGAAAGTTTTTTTAGGATGAGGGAAAGGTATATAGCTCAAGGTGGGAGTGGAATATTGAAATTGGAGGAGGTGAAAGAAAGCATGGAAGCAAAGATCTTCAGAACAGAATCATGGGCTGAGCAGGGCCAGAGCTCAGGTGAGGTGTGTGCAGCATCTCAAGAAGGACCTTAAGAAGGTCCCCAAAACTCAGTGTCAAGAGAAATAGTATTTTAGTGAATATCCCTAAAAAATCAAAAGCAATGCAAAAATCCATAATGTATAAAATATCAAATTTTTGTTCATCGTGGATTGTTTTTCTGGAAAAAGGTCATACTTTTTTTTTTTTCAAAATGTGACAAAACTCTATTGTAAACCTTTGTTAAACATTTACAATTTTTTTCAAAATGAATCAGAAATACACTGAGGACTTTCTTGAACACATCCATAGTTTTTTCAAAATGGATCAGAAATACGGGTTGATTTTTTGGGGGAAAAAAGTCCATGATAAGCAAGGTTTTGAGATCTTATTTATCATAGATTCTTTTGTATTAATTTTTAAATATTATTTAATTTTTAAATATTAATTACAATATTATCTTGATTACTGAGTTTGGGGTACCTCTTAAATTTTGCACCTGAGATGGGCGCCTCTCCTCCCTTGTCCTAGCCCTGGCCCTGGTACAAGGGGTGGGTCCCTTCAGGATGCCAGTTATTATGCTTCTCTCCTGCTAAGCATCCCCAAGCTTGTTAATACTCACTGTCCCGCCATATTTGCATGTCTGGACTCTTCCCCTGGTGCCCCTCGGCCCCCACTCTCACTCCTTCTCTATGTGCTCTGCATGCCCATGTCCTGTGGCCATCTTCCACGGAACACTCCCTAGCTCCCATACCACCCTCTCTGCCCCCCATGCTCCCCACCTCTCTCCAGCCTCTCTTGTGTCCAGATAGACCAGCCAGAGTTTGATGTTCCCCTCAAGCAAGAGCAGGAACAGAAGGTCTCTGCCCAGGTAAGGTGGTATGGACGAAGGCCCTGCCCTCTGAGGCCAGAAGGGCAGGAGTCTCCAGAACCCGTGACCGAGGTTGCCCTTCCCCAGATCTTTCGGGAGTACCTGAGTTACCTGAACCAGTTGGGAACCTTGCTCGGTGGGGACCCAAAGAAGGTGCAAGAACATGCCTCCTTGTCTATCTCCATCACGTCACGCCTCTTTCAGTTTCTGAGGCCCCTGGAGCAGCGGCAGGCACAGGGAAAACTCTTCCAGACAGTCACTATTGACCAACTCCAGGTGCCTTGAATGGGGGATTGGAGGATTGTGAGCACAAGGGTCTCCCACCCAAGCTTCTCTTACCTCCTTTTCTCCTTCCTCCTAGTGCCTTAACTCCTGACTCCTTTCCACCCCGGACTCTCTAGGGCCTCAGGCCCCTTCTCCAACCAGCCCCTTCCCTTCTTTCTCTCAAGCCCAAGAGGAAGCCCTTTCCCCTTCCTTCTCTCCTCTTTTCCTTTCCCCCCTCAGCTTTGTGTCCCTCCTCTAAGGAAATGGCCCCTGCCATCGACTGGTTGTCCTGCTTGCAAGCAACATTTGCACCGATGCCCCTGAGCCCCTCCCAACCCCTCGTGGTCTACGACCTGGAGTATTTGAAAGACATGTCACAACTGGTGGAAGAGCTGGTGTTGACTCAGAGGTTTGCCTTGGGTGGGATTGGGGAGGCCATGGAAATGGAAGGACAGTCTGAGGACCCGTAGGACTCAGGGACCCGGGAGATCTTGGGGAATGCAGGCTGGTGAGGGCCTCCCAGGGTGATGAGAGGGTCCCGCTCTCTGTGGGGCAGGGAGGGGTGGGTGGGAGAGGAGAGGGGGTGGGGGAGAGAAGAAGGATGCGAGGCTTGGGAGCACACACACCAAGTGAAGGGTCCAGGGTCAGCCAAGACATGGGGGCTGCTGGGCACAGCAGCCTGTAGGGAGCCTCTGAGCTCCAGGATATGCTGGAAGGTCAGATATGGGACATCTGAGGGTGTTTGTGTCTCTTCGGCAGCTGAGGGCTGCAGGCAGGAGGAGCAGGCCCATGAGCTGGGGAGGTGGAGGTGGTGAAGGCTGCAGCTACTCCCAGGAAAGAAAGCTGGGGAGCGGGGACATTTCTCAGCTGTGGGGAGAGGATTCTGGAGCCCTTGCTGGAAAGAATATCTAAGACCACTTCTGCTGGGATCAGGAAGTCATCAGGGATCAGGGTGGGGCACATAAGCAGTTCTACATGAGTGGTTCTACACTGGGCTCCCGGCCTCCCAGGATACTGTGTGGCCACCGCCCAAAGCCAGCAGCTCCTCCCAGGGGCTTGGACTCAAGGCCCTTCTTCATCATAAATCAGTGGCAGCAACATCTGGAAATCGTTTTTGAGGGAGGCAAACAACCACTCATGGGTAATGAGCAGGTTTACATGAGGGTCTGGTGTAGCTCTGGTAAGGGAATGACCAGAGGGACACAGAGGAGTCACTGAGCCCAGCTGTGCAGTGATTAAGAGATGCATGTGTGGATGAGCTGAGATTTCTTGGTCATGGAGGTAGATGGATCTGTTTCATTACATCTGAGCCCAGCCTTCGTCCAGCCCAGGGCCTTCTTTCCCTGTGACCTTGAAGGTTTCCTCTTTATCTAGTTCCTTCAGTCATTCCCCAATGCCTCCCCCAACTCACTGCAAGAAAAGCTCTTCTTGACTTGCTTGCATGTCCAGACAGGTATTCTTTATAAACACAGAGAAGGAGCTGCCTTGGGAAGTATCAGGGTGACTTGTACAAGGAGGCTTTTCTTGGGGCATCCCTGGAACCCTTATGTGGGTCTCTTTTGTCTCCATAGGGACTTTCTGCAGAGCTACATGATCTTGGGACTGGTGGGGACACTTTCTCCAGCCCTGGACAGTAAATTCCAGGATGCACGCAGAGAGCTGAGCCAGAAACTTCGAGAGCTGACAGAGCAACCACCTGTGGTGAGGAGCAGAGTGGGTGTATTTTTCCACGTTGGGGGCTAGAAGAGTATCTTCTCCTTTGAGGAGTGAATGTTGGCATGTCTCTATCAGGGAGAGGGGCGTGATGGTAGATGCTCTCCATGGAAGCAGGCAGATTGGACAGATGAGGCTTCACTTGAGAACCAAGGTACCAGGTGCCAGACCTTCAGGAATACATCTCTTGGCCTGGCCACCTCTCTGGCCTCTTACTGAATGTTAGAGTTTAATTATACTACTCTGAAGTTATCAAGGACTGCTCTTCCTTTGTCATGAGTCTTACACTATTTTCTCTTATCCTGAGTTCTATGACCTGGATCTAGAGCTTGGCATTTTCTGGGATGAGAAGCACATGTGGTCTTCCCTCTGTTTCGGCGATTCCATGTTTTATATTCAAAGATGCTTTATAAAGAGGCCATCCTGATATCCAGGGGGTTCTGTTGGGCCATACATGGGCTTTGTGGTGCAGACTCTGATATATCTGTGCAGAGTGCTGGGTAGTAAATGCACTTCACTACCCAGAGTCTACTTATAACATAAGATGCAGAGATGCTTCTTCACCGAGAACCTTCAAATCCTAAGTCAGATCTCCAAATACAAACAGAAGTGTCTCGTACATTGGATACAACCTCAGTGAAGGCCTCAATTGAATCTTGAAAATCACTGGGATTTCTTAGTAATTTGTGGACCATTTCTCTGCCTTGGAGAAACTGTCCTCTTTGGCAACCTGAAATGTCTGTGGAATTCAGAGAAGAAAAAGGTATTCACAGAGACTAAAATGTGGTTACTGCTTATTGAGAGCTTATAATGTGCTAGACATTTCTTAAGTCCTTTAGATCTATTAGCTGGTTTAATCCTCACAATTCCTTGAGGTACCATGGATACCATTTTGTCCCTGTTTTAAAGATGGGGAAACCCAGGCACAAAGATTAAAGAGCTTACTCAAGGTACTATAGCTAGTAAGTTGGTAGATCAAGGATTTGAACTCTGGCTGCAGGGTCTGTGTGTTTGTTCATTGTACCAAAAAGCATTACTCCTTAGAGCCCTCACCTCAAGTCCCAGGAAGCTTCTGCCCAACTTTTCTCTTGCTTCAGATTAGGCAGAACAGAGCCCCAAGTTCTCTTGGTTGGGGTTGCCACGAAATCACTGGTGACAAACAGCTTCCTATAAATCCCAGCACCATGGCCCGATGGCACTTCTCGAAGGGTGTAAGACTGCAAATGTTGGGTCTTACCTAAAGAGTGTATAATAGAAGCCTTATACATCCTGAAGTCCTTCTCTTTTCCATTAAGCTACATAATTGACCTTGAGCTTAAAAGCTGAGTCAAGCTCTGTCAACAAATAGTTACGTTGTTGAGAAGCCACTTAACCTTTCTGGAACAACAGGATAAAATATGACACAGAGCAATAATGATAATAGCTGATATACATTGAGTAGTCACAGTCTGTCGGCACTTAGCATACATTATTTTATTTAATCTTCCAGAAACACTTGGAGGTTAGGCTCAGAAAGGCCAAGGTACTTTCCCAAGACCATACTGCTCATAAGTAAAGGAACAGACTCAAAAACAGATCTGTTTGGCTCACGAAGTCATGTTTTTAACCACACCCTGTCCAGGATTGAGAAATAAGTGGCTGTTACAAATCAGGGATTAGTAAACCTTTCTATTGAGAGCAAGGAAGTAAATGTTTTTGGCTGTGCGGTGTGTGCCACAGCCACTCAAGTAGGTCTTTGTAGCACAGAAGCAGCAGTGAATGGGCATGGCCATGTTCCTAGAGAACTCAGGTTTGCACAACAGACTGCTGGGGTTCCCCAGAGGGAGAGACCAAGGAGCATTTGAATGATCAGTGGGATTTCTATGTGGGACGTAGAACAGAGGCAGTGTCTAGAGAGATGAAGGAGTTCTCTGACACCTCATTGGGATGGGGCATGAGGCAGGCTGGCTAAAACTGCGTGCATATGAGGACCCTCCTGGTGGCTCTGGCTGAGGCGAGATGAGCAGGCTTGCAGGGCAGGCCGTGCCCACCACTGCAGCTGGAGTGTCCCCCACACCAAGTGTTTGACAATCAGCAAGGAGGCCAGGGCACCAGGAGCAGAGTGGACGGGATAATAGTGGAGAGGACACGAGAGCAGGAAGGAGAGGACCACATGGGATCTGGTAGGTCACTGTAGTGACTTGTGCACTTCTCCGCAGGAAATGGGGACGTGCAGAGGGATTTACCGATTTTATGTTTTAAAAGAACATGTTATAAGGTTAGCAGTGGGATCTCCTGACTGATGTGTGATGTCGGAGGAGGTGTGGAGTCAACGACACCACCAAGGTTTTGGCCTTGATTTGATCATACTCTATGGTTCTATCGAATGGTCACTAATTACAGACCGCTGACCATATTCTCCTGAATGAATTCTAATTTCTATCCTTTTCTTAAAAAGACTGCTAAACCTCATTATCTGACTGTCTTTGGTTAGTTGGTTCTGAATATAGGTATAGTCACTGAAAAGGGCTTTCTCTTAGGAAACTTGGGAAGCTGGGTTTGGGGAAGTAAAAGAAGAACTTCACATTTGTGCTGATTAAATGTGAACTATTTATATTCAGTCCAACATCCCAATTTATTCAAGTCACCTTAACCTCTTTTTTAGTCATTCACTAGGCCATCCGTGGGTCATGTGCACTTTTGTCCAGCGTGTCTCGGCGCAGACTACTGTTAAGATCCTGAAGGGGGAAGGGCAGTGGATCAGGTTATTGAAGACTTAGCTATAAATTTATCCATTCGTTTAGCAACAAGTATTTTTGGAGCACCTCCTATAGTCCAGATACTTCTCTAGGCACTTGGGATATGGCAGTGAAAAAAATAGACAAATGTCTCTGCCTCAGACATATGTTTTAGTGAAGGAAGAAAGTTAATAAACTAAATGAAATATGTTAGGTAGTGTTATGAAGGAAAACAATGGAAGATGAGGAACAGGGTTGCTAGGTGAGGAGTAGGTACGGTTCCCAGTAGGAAGGGCTGGCCAGGCCATATGAACTTGGAGTCATTCATCAATGATGTTTCGTCATGGTGCAGCCAAAGGAGACTCCATTTAAATCATGCTATCATTCAACATCAATTTCTCCTTCAAATTTACTAGGACTTAATCTATACCAAATGCCTCACATAAATCAAGAGAATGCCAGCAGAGTGAGGCAGTACTTTAGAATATGCAGAGTCCTTTCAGGGTATTATTTCACCTGATCCTCTCATCTGGGAGGAAGGTAGAACTGATAATATTTTCATTTTGATAGCTGGCATAGCTGAAGCACAGGGGTTTAAGTTCATAATCTACTCTTAGTAAAAGTTGAGTACTCTGTTCCGTGGTTGTATGCTGGTGGCCCTTAAGGATGAATTTAGTCTATAGATGTGTTTTGTCAGTCTTCAGAGTCTTTTGCAAACTTTGAATTAATCATCAACACTCAAAAATTAGGAGATGGCATGCCAGTGTTCAGATTTGCAGCCTCCGTGTGTGTGAAGCTCAGAAAGCATAGGGCCAGCCTCCTCCATGGCAGCCACTGACTACCGCTCAATGGTGCATGGCCCAGATTTAAGTTAGTGGCTTCTGGTCCATTGTGTACCCCAGTTTGATGAGCCTTTTAATCAGAGGAATTGTTATCATTTTGGCTTTATTTGTCCTCTGTGATCCCACCATGGACAGCCCTTAGTAGTTACCCATTATTTTCCAAGTGTTCAAAAACTGTCCATTTAATGATTCATTCTAGAAATTTTGTTTAGAAATTAACATTAAAGATCTCGGAAATCTACTTTCACCCTGTGGAAAATTGGTCAAATTCTTGCTTCCCTCCAGACTCTTAGAATTTTTCCTAGTATTTGTCATTTCTCAAATATTTTTATTCCTGGTTCTGAGGTCATATTTGCAACTTTTTTGTTTTTGGTGCCCTAAAATTAATCCACTAAACTTCATTATCTTGGGTTTGAAGTATTTCTTCCATCCTTCATGTTTTGGAGATTTTTTGCCTTTAATTCTATTTCTTTCTCTCTCTTTTTAGTGCTCTCTTTCCCATCAATGTGGTAGACACTGTCATTCCACATCTGGAGAGAGCTGCAGCGGTAGTCTGAGGTGGCCTCTGTATTCTCCGGTGGTTAGGTACCCGGGCAGAGGATGTTGGAGGAATGGTCGGGCCCCAGAGGAGGAGAACAGGAAAGAACTCAGGAAGCAGGGGTGTGAAGAGGGCAGGCCCATCCACACTATCAAGCTCACAGCTCACATGGGCTCCCCCCTGCCATTGCTGCTGCCCCAGGCGTGGCCACCGTTGCTGAGAGGCAGTCCCAGAGCCAAGCTTGTCAGCTTGTCGGGAGGGAGGAGGATGCTGACGGTGGCTGGCAGAGCCCCTGCTTGACCCAGTTGCTGCTATCAGACCCAGATTTCCTCCCACTTCCTGTTTGCTGTTCACATTTGGGTTTCAGAGCTCCAACTAACACCACGGAGAGAGTCTGAGCCCCTTCTCCTCATGAGAGAAGAGACTAACAGATCTCATGGTGCAGGCACTAGAACACACAAATGTGGACAGCCGGGTTTGGAGCAACCTCCAAAATGATAAACTCTGTAACCGGTGGGCCCAGCAGTCTCTCTCTCAGTGACCACCAGCCTGGCCTCCAGTTTCTGTTCCTCTAGTGGGTGCTCGTAGGCTCCCTCCCAGACCTTAGACCCGCCCAGCCCGCGCTGAGGGCACAGGGGCAGCCTTCCTACCTCCCCTCCGCAGATCTTGGGCGGTAAATAAATGAGGGGAATAAAGTCTTGTGGCTCCATTCTGCCCCTGGCCCACAAGCAGTGTATTATCTGGTTTCTATGAGCTTCCTCAGGCCAGCTGCCTACTCCTCACCCCTGGCTCCGCGCGGGCTTCTCTGTTCAGCCTGTGTGCACCTGTGTCATCTCTGGCCTCCCCCCTTGGCCAGCTCTTCAAAGCCACTCAAGCCTTTCCCCACATCGCTCTCTTATGTTTCTCCTTCTCTGGGTCCTGCTGCGGAAAAGCACCTCAGTTGCCGCTGCCCTCCGCCCCCCAGTGTTTGCCTCCGCGCCTCTGCGGTGAAAGCCCCCAGCTTCTCGTCCTGCCCCCCTCCCTGATTTGGCCGAAAGACTTCTAGTTCTCCGAATTCACATGCTTAGTCTTGGCTTTTGTCCTCCTCTCCTAGCAAACAATGTGGCATGTAAAACCCAGTTTTACTCTGGCAATTTCCTTCTGTTCAAGATCCTACAGTAGGATGCCCAGACTCCTGCTTGGAGGGTGGGTGAGGCTGACGGCGGGTGACAGAGTTACTGTCTCCATCTTCTGTGTTGGGCAAAGAAGCGTGGGAGGGTGGGTGTCATTGCTGGGACCTGGGAGCGGAGCGTGCGGTAGTGGGACGGGTGGGCGGGAGGCGCACCTGCCGGAGTAAGAGGTCTGGCTTCTCGTCCTCTCCCTGCCAGGAGCTCTTCAGTCCTCTAGGACGATGACTCCCCCAGGCCTCGCTGTCACATTCAGTAGGCATAAACGTGGAGGATTTGCTCAGCCAGGCTCCCGAGACTAACCCTGGAGGAGGCCGGAGGCCCTCTTGCTGAGTAGCACTGTGTGTCACCCAAAGGGATAATAAACCGAGATAGAACCCAGAAAATCCAGTTGAGAGAACACCTCTGGGGATGAAGACCTAGAGAAGATTGGTCTGGGAGGCAGATGAGGAGAGCACCGTGGACAGAAGGCACTCACTGCAGCTCTGTCTCCGTAGTCTGCCCGCCCTCGATGGATGCAGTGCGTGGAGGAGACAGGCACCTTCTTCCAGCCCACCCTGGCGGCCTTATATGTTCGAGAGGCCTTTGACTGGAGGACCCGAAGTGCTGTATGTAAGGGCTCTCCCAGCCCGTGTCCCTCCACCCCTTCCCGCCCAACTGCCCTTCCTCATTCTGTGGACTTTGCCCTTCTCGGTGGTCTGTGTGGTTGGGGACTCTGGCAGTCCCAGACAGAGAGTCCACAGAGCAAGAGGACCCGAAGAACTGCTCCAGCCCCAGGGTGAGCACCGCTCAGCTACGGGCCACAAAGTCTCCCCAGCATGCACTAGCTCGGACGGGTCACCCAGCTCTCCTGGTCTCATGCTGCTTCAACCGTAAAATGAGAAAATCGAACTCTGTGACCTCTCAGGCTCCTCCCTGCTTACCTAAGATTTTTTAACGGCACATGAACTGACATGAGAATGGGATGACATAATCTTGAGGGCAAATAAGTAACCACCGAATATTCTGAGTGCCTACCACCTGCCTGGGACTTTTGTAAGCACTTTGCATGAATGACTTTATTTAATTCCTAATATCCTCCTAATTTTGTAGAAGAGAGAACCGAGGCACAGAGAGGTTGAGTGACTTGCCCAAGGTCACACAGCTGCCAAATAGCAGAGTTAGGATTTGAACTCAGGCCGTCTGATGCCAGAGCCAAGTCTCCTGATGTTGTCATTCATCTTCCTCAGCAATGTGTATAAGGAAGGGTATATATACACCAGGTGGTAGACAGCTGGACAAGCAGTGACTACACACTCAGGTTGGGAAGCTCGAGGGCTCAGGAAGAGGGAGAGAGAGTGAATATCTTAAGAAGGTGTGAGGTGAAGGCCCACAAGATCAGAGAAGGGAGGGACAGCCCTCTTCCTCCCTCTGCGTTCTGAGTGGTTTGCCTGGCTCCAAGAGTAAGGACGGTGTCTCTCTCCCCCATCAGGCTGAGATCTCCCTGTGGAAAGTAAGTGTCTCCCTGGTGGACCCTCAGGGCCGGCCGGCTCGCACCTTCCCTCTCTGTACTTGGCACTGCCTTTCCTGCTCTGCAGATCTTCGCACCCTGGAGAGCTGTGGTCACCTGGGAGGTGTCCTTACCACCCTATCTTTCTCAGCTCTCCCCCTTTCTCTGACAGGCAGCCCAGGAAGCTCCCTGGGGCCAAGGCCTCTTCCTCAGGTCAGGTGCGCAGGCAGGGCCGGCTGAGGCCCTGAGCCTGTTCTCCTGTCCCCGACCTCACTCCCACAGGCCATGGAATTATTCACGGCCATCAGGGACACCCTGGTCACTCGCCTCAGACGGCTTCCCTGGATGAATAGGGAGACCCAGGAGGAGGCCCAGGACAAGGTCAGGCTGGGTGTAAGGGCCAATGTGGGAGCGGTGGGGGGTGGTTAGAGTAGTGGACCAAGCCAGATGGGGACTGGAGGAGAGCGCCAGATGCCAAGGGCACATGCCAAGCGTAAAGGCCAGTGTGCTGCACACACAGCCTGGAGACAGCAAGGAAGGCTGGAGCAGGGCGGCCAGCAGGAGAACTTGCCTCCAGTGGACTGGGCACAGCTGGGCTCTTACCACCTTTTGTGTCTCTCTCCAGGTCACCCAACTGCAGGTGGAGATGGGGGCCCCAGAATGGGTCCTGGAGCCAGAGCTGGCCAGACAAGAATACAGTGATGTGGGTCCCTGAGCTTCCCATCTTTTCTCAGTCCTTGCCTTCTTTCTCCTCACTTCACTGGCCCTCCTGAGTGTCTGCCAGATGGTCGGTTTGCCCCGGGTGATTCTAACCAACCCCTTCCTTGCCCTGGTGCCGGCCGGGCTTTCTGGGGGAATGTCCACACTGTATGTCTTGCTGGCAAAAGAATAGAACATTTTCAGGTCACGACGTGTGTGTGCACACATGCCTGCGTGCATCCCGTGACTTGCCTGAGTGTGTCTTATGTGCTGATACGTGTAAAGCCCGTCTGCCCCAACACGTGCTGAGGCCACTGGGCTGGCCTCTGCAATCTGCGGATGCCCGTGTGTCAGGGCTCGCCTGTTTGTGTTCGAATGTATCTGTCAGCATATGTCAGTGTGCGTCTCTATTTGTCTCTGTGTACTCAAGTCACCTCCTGCCTCCTCCCCAGATACAGCTTGGACCTAGCTTCCTGCAGTCCGTCCTGAGCTGTGCCCGATCCCTTCAAGCCAGAACTGTCCGGAGCTTCTTACAGCCTTTGCCCCACCACAGGTGTGAGAGCAGGGGAGACACAGACACTCCATCCCGGAGATATCTACCCACGATTAGGAGGAATGGAAGCCAGGGCAGGAACAGGGGCAGTAGTTGGGAGGGACGTGTATGTCTGGGGGTGGGAGGGCAATAAATGGTGGCACTTGTATGTATGTGCTCTTTCCCCAGATGGAAAATGTCCCCCTGGGCTGTCAACGCTTACTACTCAATACCTGACCATGTGGTGGTCTTCCCAGCTGGACTCCTCCAGCCCCCATTCTTCCACCCTGGCTACCCCAGGTAGGAGGATTCTGTGAGGGTGGGCAGAGAGTTTCCCAAGAGGGGTTGGCAGGTGTTATTTTAATATGATGGATAGGACTTGTGGTTGGAGAATTGAGGTAAAAATTACTGAGGGCATCTAGGGGTAAGACGAGCCCCTGTCTCCTAGAGCCGTGAACTTTGGCGCTGCTGGCAGCATCATGGCCCACGAGCTGTTGCACGTCTTCTACAAGCTCTGTGAGTAACAGGGCCACCGGGAGGTAGGGCATGGGGAACCCAAGGGAAGGTCCAAAGGGAGGCCTGGGGGGAGAGGGAGGTAATTTGAGGCCTCTGGATGGGACAGTCCTGGAAACTTTGCATCGTTCCTGGGAGCCAGGTCAGTCTGCGGCACGCCCCACATCCGCACCCCACGAGCACCACCTCTCACCTGTGCATCCTCTTGCCCCATTTTCGACAGTGCTCCCCGGGGGCTGCCCAGCCTGTGACACCCATGCGCTGCAGAGGGAGCTGCAGTGCCTGGAGCGCCATTATGCTGCCTTCTCATCTCATGGCAGAAGCTCCTTCAATGGTTCTGGCACATTCCTGGAGAACGCAGCAGACGTGGGCGGGCTGGCCATTGCACTGCAGGTAGCCGGGGGCTGCCGTCTGTTTTCACTGGCAGGCTGGAAACCCTGCCCGCAAGGTTTCCTTCCACCATCCCTCACACAAACAGACTGGCATAGCTTTCTGCCCTCACGTCCCTGCCGAACAGATGGCAACTTGGGGATCCCGTTCCCACCCCGTAAGTCCCCGTTTCCTAGGACAGTTATAAGTCTGCTGGCACGTACCCTTTTCTCTGGCCTAGACCATTGTGTCAGGCTGAACCAGTGAAGAAGGCCAAGGACTGGCTCTGGGTCCCTGGAGGGCAGTGGACTTTCAGGTGGCCTCAGGTCTGGAGGCTGAGGGCACTCTCCACCCCGCCCCTGTCCAGGCATACAACCAGAGGCTGTTCTGGCACTACGGGGAGACCACCCTGCCCAGCCTGGACCTGAGGCCCGAGCAGATCTTCTTCCGAAGCTACGCCCAGGTAGGCAGTGCCTGCCTCCCACCAGAGCTTACACCGACCCTAACGCTGAAGTTCGCAGAACTTCCCCTCCCCCAAACTCCCTCCCAAATGCCCTAGCCCTCTGCCACGTATGTCCCCACTGTCATCCTTCCTCACTCCCCCTCGGAATCATCCTTCAGATTACTGCGTTTTCTTCCATCAAATTGAGCCCCCCACCCCCACTCAAAATGTAAACAAAACTCTACTCCCAGGTCTCTCCATGAGATGAGCCCAATTTTTTTCTTCTCTCATGCACTCAAACTACAGATGCCTTAAAAATGAGCCTGCCACAGGCTGACTGTATACACACTCCTCTTCAGACACTCCACCCCCAAGTGCAGTGCCAACCTGACATAACCCCTTAAGCACCCTGTGCTGCCTAGACGACCCAGTCCCCAATTCCTCAGCACCCTGAAGCCCTCCTCCCAGAGCTGTTCCATCAGGCCCCACCTCCCGGTCACTGACAGACGGTGTCATTACACAGCCAGGCCCTCCCTCCGACCCCTATGCCCGGATTAGATGACCTACAATTGGTAGATCCTTCAGGTGGCCCTTGAAGCACTTTACTCCCTGTCCCCCCTCTCTCTGCCCTTCCCAGTCACCCCGTGTTACCAGATCAGCCTTGTCCTGCAGACCTCACTCACAACCGGCCCTCCTCCCTCCTTGACCCTCTTCCTGCCCAGGCCATGTGCAGAGGGCACAGCTCCCAGGACTCCCAACGCACACACAGCCTTGGCCCCCTTCGAGTCCACGGGCCCCTCAGCAACACCCCAGCCTTTGCCAGATATTTCCGCTGTCCACGTGGAACCCTCCTGAACCCTTCCAGCCGCTGCCACCTCTGGTAACCTGGCTGCCAAAGAGACCACAACACAGATGCATCAGTATCTCCCTGGCCCGATCCATGGAATCAGGCCAATAGCTCCTTTCCCCTTCCGTTCCAGAAATAAAAGCTGGCACTTGGCTTCTGCCTGTCTCTTAATGACTCTTTCCTGCTAGGATCTATGGCTAGAAGTCAGAAACGGTAATGGGGAAAAATGCCTAGAAGTCAGAAAAGATAAGAGGGGGGAAATGCCAAAAATATCCCATGGACAAAAGAAAAAGGAGGAACCAAGGACGGGTGACCAGGTAGGTCTGAAGGTTGGGCAGTTAAACAGCCCAGCTGGAGACAGAGGGCTTGGGTCTCAGAAAGCTGCTCCCGATTGTTTTCAGGATTTTATTGCTGTTTTGTTATCTCTGCCTCCTCCCTCTAATCTGCTGTCCTGAACAAAGCCAAGAGAGGTGTGGGAGAGAGAAGGACACAGGTCTGCTGTCCCGGAGGCAGGGTGGGATAGCAGCTGACACTGCGGGAGGACTGGCAGGAGGCAGTGTGTGCGTGTCCTTTGGGGGCAGTGGGGGGAGGGAGGGTCAGTAGGTGATCAGGAAGCGAAGGTAGGAATCCAGGTTCTCATCTAGGAACCAGGCCACCGCCTCGGCCTCAATGTCCCTCATAAAAAAATCACGACGCTGGCCAGACTGAAGCAGAAGGCTAGATGAAAGACGTGGTCGAGGACAGCTGCCGTCTCGGATGTCCTGTCCTCCTCTTGCTGGGCCATGTCCATCACCTGCCACATCTCGCCCACCGAGGAGGCCACAAAGTGCTCTTCAAACTGCTCTTGATTCTGGTCTGGAACAGGGGAGAGGGGCAGGGACTGACGGCCTGACCCCGACCTGTCCCCGCCCTGACCCTGGCCCGAACCGGAAAGGGAAGAAATTAGAGTAGGAAAAAAGGTTGGGACCTCAGGTTCTTGGCCCAATTGCCCACATCCCTGGCCTTGACCAGAAAGGTGACGCTCCTGCCAGAGGTCTTTTCTGGTCTGTGTTCAACCACAGCCCCGCCTCAAAGGCACACACCCCATTCCTAAGGCTCGCTGCCTCCTCCAAAGGGTTCCACCATTCAGGGAGTCAGGCGCCGCCATGAAGTGTGAAGGAAACTGAAGACCCTCTGCCCAGCACATGCACCGTGCTCATGCGCACAGAAACCGTGTGCAGCGTCAGCTGGCCCGCGCTGTGCCTGACGCTACCAGTTCAGGCTGTAACCACAGGGGCCTGGAATTATCTCCCACAGCCCAAGCCCAGCTCAGGTCCCACCTAGCTTACCTTGTTACCTGGGGCCTGATTTCAGACAGACCCAGCCCTCAGCCTCCAGGCTCCCCCTCTTCTCTACCCACCTGGAGAAGGTGTTTCTTCTTTCTGGCTCGTCTCCTCCAGGCCTGGGCTCCCCCCATTCTGAAGCTTCACCCCCTTTGTCCACAGTAGCAGCAGGATGGTGGCCAGGAGCGCTGCCCTGCAGAGCTGGGAGCCCAAGGCAGGCATGGGCCTGCTCTCCTCTGCCTGTGGCCCTCCCCACACCCCAGTGCCCAGCAGGCTCCCCCTACCTCCCGCCCCACCCCACCCCAGCCCTTACCCCTTCCCAACACTTTCTTGTCCTCTTCCCTTCCATGGGACCTCTGACTTCATGGGCTCTGTGACATCACAGCCGTGGGCCTGACCATTCCAGCTCACCAGAGTGTTCCATTGCCAGGCAAGAGAGTGGAGCGTAGCCACCTGGGGTGGCAGAGGCTTCTGGAATGACTGTAGTGGGCCGTCTTGTAGCCAGCAACAGACATGACTTAAGAGTTTGCAAAGCACATTCACATCCACTGCATCATTAGATGCACATGGCAACCAGGATTCCAAGTGACAGCATTCTCATACCCACTACACAGATGAGAAAACTGAAGTTCACAGAAGAAATGACTCTCCCGATCCCCCAGACACTAAGGGGCAGAGCAGGACTCTTGATTATCTCTTTTAATTCTAAACATGACATCTTCCCACTATTCCACTCTGCCTTTCTCTAAGAAGAGCGATTTATGTAGGGTAAGGTCCAGACCAGATGTGGAAGTCAGGACCCTCAGGTCCCGGGCGTGAGCTGCTGCTCCACCTGTACCGTGGGTCTGCCAAGAAGCGAGGACGGGGAGGGGCCCAGGGAGGGCCGGAAAGGGCACATGCTCCATGTGTGCACCTGTATGTGTGTGTGAGAGAGACAGAGAGACAAAGAGACAGAGACAGACAGACAGAAAGAGACAGGGAGATGGAGACAGGAAGAGACAGAGTGACAGAGTGCACAGAGAGACAGAGAAGTGGAGACCATTCTCTCATCTCTCCTTGTCCTGCCCTAGTCTTGCCCCCTTCCCAGCCTTTGTCCTCTTGTACCACCAGGCTGGAACACCCTCTTCTGTCATTTTACAGCTTCCTGTCCTCTTAGACACAGAGAAAAAGTTGTTAGGGGCTCATCTCTAAGCTCCTTGTTCGGTGGAAGGAGTTAGAGTCTGCAGAGGAGACACAGCGTGGCAGAGAGTCAAGGATCTCACATAACGAGTCTGGAAAAATCCTGCCTCAGTGCCCCAATGCCCCTCCTGCCCGTGAGCCTGGCGAGCACAGGCCTGTTGGTGGTAACCGGCTATCCCAAATTACGATCATCTGCTCCTCGGAAGCAGAGCTGGTTGGAGGGCTGTGGGTTAGGGGAGGCAGAATGAAGGCCTGTTTTGGAAAACCAAAAACAGACACACAGGCCACAAGATACAGGATGATGCTAGGAGAGTACAGCACATGTGAACCGTCATTCCCAGTCACGCCACTTCTGCTCGTCCGTGTACGCCAGCCCCGAATGAAACATGCACGTGCGGGTGCAAGGACAGGTGCGGAGACACGTACCCTCTCTGCAAGAGGGAAACTGCAGAAATGAAAACACGTGAAGTGATTCCTTCCCATGGAGTCCACCCATGCTAGCAGACGTGCCCACACGGATACTCTCCTACATATGGCAGACGCCTCCTACGCAGTTCCTGGCGATCCGAGCCAGGTGACGGGAGACTGGGGAGTGGTACGGGAGGTTGCTTGAAGGTGAAGGAAGAAAGATTCAAGTCCTCGTGTGACCCTGTTCACCCCGACCTTGCACCCACTGACCCGAGATCCAGACAACAATGCTTGAATGGAAAACAATCACTAACCTCCTCCTGGCTATTTTGGGGGAGGAGCCTCTTGGTTCTCTGGCAAAAAGAGATGCCATCTCCAGCTCTGTGGGTTTGGGTGGGGAGCGTCGCCCAAGGAGCGGGCTGGAGTGGAAAGAACCGGGTGGGCCTGACCACCACTGTTTCCATTTCCTCACCGCCATCCGCCCGGCTCCCAGTGTCAGAGGAGATGCATCCTTGCAGGAAACCAGGAATCCCTTAAACATTTTCTTCTTATTACAAAAGTATAAAATACAGAAAAGTATAAAATATAAAAAAGTACAAAAAACAAAAAAAGCGAATCATTCCACCGTCCATCAAAGTTTTAAGGTGTCGTATCTGAAGCCTTTTCCTAGATGGCTGTGGCCATTGGGGTGCGAGTGTATCTCTTAAAAATTGAAATCCAGGTATTATTTTTCTCTCCTCGTATTTTCACATCAGAACAAGAGATCGGGCTGCTTTGGCGCAAAGGGGCTCTGGGAGCTGACAGCACAGTGAGGTGCCCCCAACCCAGTTCTCCTCCTGGGCACCCAGGAAGCGTCACAGACTGGCCCATCGTGGCGGGCGGGAGAGAGGATTCTGCTGGTGTCCTTTCTGCAGAAAGCTGGGAGAGGACTGAGAGGAAAGAGGGGAGAAAAGGAAGGCTAGGACGGTAATGTCAAGTGTCACAAAGAGGCAGGAGTGCTGGGAGGGACAGGCCAGGAGAGACTCCACATCTCTGACCTACTGGCCGGGACAGGTGGGACACCTTGGTCTGTGCCCCTCCCTCTGGAGAGAGCGGTGAGTTGAGAAGGGTGAGAGACAGGGCGAAGGCCTGGGGAGGGGGACTGAGCATCCGGCCCCCCTCCTCCTTCCCGGACCCACAGACAATGCCCTTGGTGGCAAGTCCCAGCACACCTGCTCTGTGCGGCTCTGACCGGGCCAGCCTCCTCCCGCGCCAGCCCCTTCCCACCCCACCCCCTCCAGGATCAGCTTTATGGGTTGCTGTTTCCTTGGCAGGTGCTCCCTTCCTGGGCCTGCCCCGCTTATCGGTGCATCTACAACCCCCACCTCGACCTTATCGCTCCCTCCATCTCCTTAGACTGGAAGTCATTCTGAGCTGCCCTGACCCCCGGCGAGGCATAAAAATGCCCCACGAGTTGAGCCCTCCCCTCTCCTGGATGAGAACATGATTCTCCCTTGGGCACCTCCTCTTTCTTTCCTTATTTATTTCCCTTTCAAGTTTTGTCCTTCTCTAAAGGTTATTTACTCCATCCCTCAATCTCTGGGGCAGAGCTCTCTTTTTTACCCCTGCCCACGAAGACCCCCAAGGGGAGGGGTCCGGCGTACCTCACCCCGTTCTCTCACTTTGTAGACAGAAGGTTCCTGGGAAGCAGCAAGGTCTGGAGAGTGACGTGGAGCTGAGATCCGCCTTCAAAGCCAGTTCCAGCCTCGCTCTTAGCTGTGGGGTTTGGGGCCATCACAGTCCCTCTCTGCTCTGTCTTCTCATTCAGAAAACAGAAAACCCCTCCCTGTTCCCGTTTACCCCATAGGTCTATTGAGTGACTGCAGTTCAATGGCATCGATGTGAAAACAACCAGGAAGACAAGCGCAAGCTGTGGTATATAGCAGGCCCGCTCGTATCCCCGAGGATACGTTCCAAGACACCCAGAGGGTGCCAGAAACCAAGATAGTACCCAACCCTATAACTGCTATGTTTTTTCCTATACAAATATATCTATGATAAAGTTTAATTTGTAAATTAGGCACAGTAAGAGAGTAACAACAATAATAACAAAATGTATATAGTATAGCGATATACTATAAGTTATGTGAATGTGGTCTCCTCTTCTCTCTCTCTCTAAGCATCTTGGTGTACAGTAGTCACCTGTTTTAGAGCTGCAGCTGACCTCAGGGAACTGAAATTTCGGACAGTGAAACCACGGATATGGGGACTAGTTAATGAAATGACATATCACTGTCTTATCTTTACACGCTCCATGTTGCCTCACTTCTGGAAAGAGTCCAAACGTGGAATCATGATATCTTTGTCCTCTGCTTTTGCTCTGCTCCTGCTGTTCAACCTCCATGGAAACATGGGACCCCCAGGGGATCCTCTGAGCCGCATCCTGGGTGTATGAGAGCCGGCTCAGCTCTACAGGCTCGAGGACAGAGACGACCAGGAGACAGGGGTACCCGGCAAGCTCTGGGAAGCAGCCCGAAGGGCCTCGTGAGTCCACCTGTGGAGGGAGGATGGGCAGGGTGTGAGCACCGTGACACCTGTTTTCCAGATGCTCCCATGAGACAGTGTGATTGTTACCCCAAGTTTACAGTTGGGAGACTGAGGCTGAGAAAGCTCACCTAACTGTTCGTAAGGAGTCAGAGCCAGGATTTAAACGATCTGCCTGATTCCAGAGCTGGGGTTCTTCATGTCCTGCTCTCCCGCACCTGACTAACTATGTACCTTGTTTGTGGACCCAGCCTCCAGGCTCTGTCCTGATCCCTTTCTGAATTCCTCCGCCCCACCCACGGCCTCTCCCAGTCTCAGCCGCCGCAGCCCACTGCAAGGGACCTTCCCTTCCTTCTCTCTGGCTGCTCTTTCCCCCTGGCTCCAGCTCTATAAAGTGCTCCTTTCCCTCCATCCAGGAAAAACACCTCTCCCCAGGCAGGGCGGCCAGTCCCTCAGTGTGTGCTCACACACACACACACACACACACACACACACACCCCGCAGCCACACACTGCACACTGCATGCACAAGTCACATGGGAGATACACTCATTCAGAGTCCCAACCCCAAACAGACCCCACCCCCTCCTCAGCCGCTGCCGTCTGAGACCTGTTCCTTTCATCACATTCCTGTAACCCGCCAGCGCCTGCGAGGAGAAGGCATGGGGGCTTGTCCACCCAAGGCAAAAGGGCCCTGGCTCCAACCCCAGAGATTTCTGCTCTCCTGGCTGTTCAGAGAACAAGACTGGGACCAGCACCTGAACCAGGCTTACGTGCTGCAACAGAAGAGGTAGGATGCCCACGGGCACCGGTGTCCCCATCGCCCTGGTCCTCAAGTCCTCTGATGCACGTGGGCTGTTTTCCTAGTAGGCAGCCTGGAGTTCAGTGCCAGTCGCTTGGATGCGCCCTTCCCTGCCAGCCCACCCACTGCCAAACCCTAGCCAGCCCCTCTTAGTAGTGGTGGAGGCAGGTGGCTTTGAGCCACATGGAGAGACCTTGAGTATAGACACGCTTCACCACCACAGGGCAGCATGACAGCCAAGGCTCTAACCCGCCTGCCTTGTGGAAGGGGGAGTGAGGGGACCAAACGGGACCAGATGAAGAAGCCGGGTGTGTGGGGTGGGGTGGCAGGCAAGGGCAGACTGCTGGGGAAGGATGTGACCCCATCCTATGGGTGGTGGAAGAAAGAGAGGCATTACCATAAGTTTGAACGAAAGCCGATTTCGTGGGAAAGGGGGAGGTTTGTTCCTGATGCCTGGGGCCAACCAGCTGAGGGGGCAGCCCGGGTGATGTTGCAGGTTCCTGAGTTCGATTCATCTACCTTTTGCAGAGCCTCGAGTCTACTGTGTGTGGTGGGGTGCTGGGTCCTGGGGACATGCAGGTTGAATGAGGCTTGCGTCTGCTCTGGGGAGCTCTCAGGGGAGCTCTCAGTTCCTGCGGGGCTGGCATACTTGGGGGTGGGTCATTGCTTGGCTGAGCCCTGAGGTGCAGCCCCAGGAAGAGCAATGGGGCAGGGACACATCCTTCAGCCTGGGGGTGGGGTGAGCAGACGTCAGCAGTACAGTCCCCCTCCCTCCCCGCTGTGCGAAGGAAGAGCCCTGTGCTTGTTGCAGCGCCTTGCTATCCTCGTCTTGAAAGTCTTGAGCATTTTGAACAGGGGTTCCTGCCTGTGCAATTTGTACTGGGCCTGCCCCAAGTGCCTCGAGCCCTCCCACTGGCAGGGTTCTCTGCTTCCCTCCAACCCAACCCAACCTGCGATGGGACTTTGGACTTCCCCACCCCGCTTTAGAGTGGGACCCAGTGGTCTGACAGGGCTAGCAGAGGAGCAGTGGGACCAGGGGGCCTGGGAGGCAGGGGCTTGGTGCAGCGGCCTCAGGACAGGGGTGAACTTGAAATCCCAGCCCTGGCTCCCCTGGGCTGGTCAGGGACACGTGGCTCCCTGGGACTGAGGCCCTGGGTGAGATGGGGCAGGGGGCTGACTCCTTGTTCCCTATCCTTCCCAGGGGCACTTCCCCAGAACAGATCTAGCCAACCTTTAGATAAAATGCTTCTTTTTTAAATAAGACACTTTTTACCCCTGGCTCCCGGGGCTACTGGAAGAGAAGAACTTGGGATGGGGACACCACAGCAACCACTGTCGGCCTGTCTGCTCTGTTCCCCCCGCCAGCCCTGCGTTTGCCTTTGCAGCCGGCACATCCCTGGGCCTAGCAGGACAGACTCCAGCTTTTATCTCTTGGTCAGTTCCAGTCTGGGTATAGGAGAAACAAAGATTAACTAAGAGAAGTCCTATAGGGTGAATATCTCAACCCACCTTCTCTCTCACTGAGAAGCCCAAATAAACAAGGCATTTAGACCCTTGCACCTAAGGGCATAATACAAAATGATCAGATTCCCCCCTACCCTACCCCCACCTAAGGGTATAATACAAAATAAACAGATTCCCTGATACCCCATCCTGGAGCTCTCTACTCTCAGCAGGGTTGTGTATCTAAACAGCCCGAAGGAGTAGTCAGAACGTTAATAGCTCACAAATTCCACAGATTAGGAAAGATTTAACAGTCCTTCCGACTTCTGTTCTGGTCTCTCAGACTCCCCTGGGCTAAAGAGAGCAGGTGCAGCAGTTCTGGGAGCAGGGGCCTAATGGTGGTGCCCTCTGTCCCACTTGTTCCACCTATGCAGCTCAGATGAATTCAGACAGGCTTAGGATCTCTTCTCAGGGACTCTCAGACCACCCCTTCCAGACCCCAGGGCCCCCTCACTCAGGTGCCAGGCCCCTCCATGAGCTGCCCCCCAGGCTGAGCTACCTGGCCCGGCCTGCGGGAGGCAGCAGGTGATGCTGATCTTGGGGAAGCCCCTGACACTCTTGCCCGAGTCTGCCCTGGGTCCCATGAGCCCACTAGACACCCGTCTCCAATCCGTCACTGCACACTGTGGGTCACGTCCTTCTTAGATGGAGAGCGTCTCTGTTCCCCTCTGCTCCTGGCCTCGTGCTGACTCTGTCTCTACCGAACTCGTGTTCACTTTCCCCCAGGATTCGAGAGTCTCCGCTGCTTCAGGCAGCCAAGGAAAACGACCTGTTTGTCCTTAGACAACTTATGCTGGACCCAACCTGTGACTTTCGACAAAGAGGTGGGATCTGGGTTTAAGGGGGTGGAGGTGGGGGCAGAAGCACCTGCTCCCCCCACCCCCAACCCAGGACTCAAGAATTTTCACAATGTGGCCTTTGAGGGTGTCTCTGTGGCTGGGTGCACCTTTCTCGCGGGAGGCTGGGACGTGTCTGACGTCCCCGTCTTACTCCACTCCAGGAGCGCTGGGGGAGACGGCGCTGCACATCGCCGCCCTCTACGACAACCTGGAGGCCGCCATGGTGCTGATGGAGGCTGCCCCAGATCTGGTTCATGAGCCCACCTTGTATGAGCCTCTTGTAGGTAAGCAGGATGCTCATGGATTCTAGGTGGAAATGCTGAGGGGCAGGGTGTGCTGTAATCTCTTAAAATGCACCTCTGAAGGGTGGGCCAGGGCGGAGTGACAGAGGGCCAAGAGGAGAAGCTCCTCAAGGTGGGAGAAGGCAACAGTCCTGGTCCTGGTTCTGAGCATCTGTGGCTTCTTTGGCCATTTAGTGTTTCCTTTCAGTCCTCCCATGGTCGCCGAAGGACCTGCCTGTGTTTCTGTCTCTCAGATCAACACAGGGTGATCACGTTTACAGCAGTGTCTCCCCCGCCCCCACCGGCCCCCAGCAGCTGAGGGCAGGTGCAATGAGCAGGGCAGCCTGAGGGACTAACCGCCCCGACCCCACCAAGCCCGGGGCAGAAATCTACCAAAGGACCTGTCAGGAGCCTCCTGAGCGGGAGGCTGGAGGGTGTCGGGTCCCTGAGAGAACTGGGGACAGAGGCAGTCCCGTGACTGACAACTGCCTCTGGGCCAGGTCAGACCGCACTGCACATCGCTGTCGTGAACCAGAACGTGAACCTGGTGCGAGCCCTGCTGGCGCACGGGGCCAGCGTCTCTGCCAGAGCCACGGGTGCCGCCTTCCGCCTCAGTCCCCGGAACCTCATCTACTTCGGTGAGAGCAGGTTGGGCTGGGAGGATGGAGAGGTGGGCAAGGATAGAGGGGGCCCTGCCCTCGGCTCTGTCTGCCCCGCAGCCGGGACGGGCAGCCCTTCCAGGGCTTAATTAGGCCAGAGGCCAATTCCCACAGCCCTTCCTCTGGTTCTGCCAGACGAGTGTCCCCGAGACCCAAGCTGAGGTGTGGGTGAGCAGGCAGGCATGTGGGGGACGTGGCCCATCCCATCCTGCCGTGCTGTGCTCTCCTGCCACGGATCCCTCTGCGTCCCCAGGGGAGCACCCTTTGTCCTTTGCCGCCTGTGTGGGCAGCGAGGAGATCGTGCGGCTGCTCATTGAGCACGGAGCCGACATCCGGGCTCAGGACTCCCTGGGTAAGAGCTGAGGTGGGGAGGGGAGCTGGCTGCTGCCAGGGGGCGAGGAGAGGGGCTGGGACAGGTCCCAGGCCCACCCCAAGTGTGGATGGGGACATCAGGGACTCTAGGCCAGTGGCCCTGTGACACTCTGTGTCCTCCCCCAGGAAACACAGTGTTGCACATCCTCATCCTCCAGCCCAACAAAACCTTTGCCTGCCAGATGTACAACCTGCTGCTGTCCTACGATGGCCGTGGAGACCACCTGCAGCCCCTGGAGGCTGTGCCCAACCACCAGGGGCTTACCGCCTTCAAGCTGGCCGGAGTGGAGGGCAACACCGTGGTGAGGGACGCCCCCATGTCTGCGGTGTCTTTCGAGTGATCCTCACCCTACCCTACTGGCCCTGGGAGCAAATAGACGTGAAGGAAGGGTCTTTCTAAAAAACCCATTTCCTCCAAATCCCCCAAAGGGTGGTGACCCCTTACTTTCTATCCCATCACTCAAACCTTCAGCCTGAGGTTCCTTTACTTGGGAAGATTTGAGGATATTGCCCTAGAGTGTCTGCTGTGGAAACCCAAAGCTGTGCTCCCTTCACCTGTTTCTTCCTTCAGAGCTCTGTGGGGTTTGTGGGAAGGGAAGATGACAATAAAAGTGAGGCTCGAAGCAGAGGTTTGCCAGTCCCCCACTTTGTATGTATCCCAAGGAGTGGGAAACTGGCCTCGTCCAATCATGCCATTCCCCTGGCCAGCTTCTCACACTGTGACCCCCCAACTCACCCCTGTGCTCTCTCAGATGTTCCAACACCTGATGCAGAAGCGGAAGCACATCCAGTGGACATGCGGGCCGCTGACCTCCACCCTCTATGACCTCACGGAGATCGACTCCTGGGGAGAGGAGCTGTCCTTTCTGGAGCTTGTGGTCTCCTCCAGTAAACGGGAGGTATGGATGTCAAGGAGCACCAAGGACTGTCATGGGAGGGAACTTGGTGTCCGTGCAGAGCCTGTCTACTGGCTAGGATCCTGGGCACCAGACACTCCAGCCTTATACTAGGCGGAGATGGGAGCAGTGTCCTGGGCCCCGTGGGAAGAAGTGCGGTACACACTCCCCTCTTGAGTCAGTGCCCTGTCAGCTTAGCTCTAGTCCCTTCTGCCGGCCTTTCTCATTCTGACATTTCAGGTGAGGAACTCTCCAAATAGGAGTTGTTTCCTTTTATTCATTCATCATTGCTGTATCTCAGGCACTGCACAAGGAACTGAGCATACAGAAATAAATAGAACAGTTCCTGTCAGTCAACTCCCTCAGGTCTTGGTCCCTGTCCTCAACGATTTTAATAGTGAACAACATACATTAGTGCTATAATAGGGGTGTGTACTACGTTCGGGGCAGCAACATTGAGGCAGGGTTAACCTGGCCTGGGGGCGGGCAGAGAAGACGTTACAGAGGAAAGACTTGAGCATTTCCTCATGAAGAGTTGGGAGTCACCAAGAAGATGAGAAGAATGAGAGCTTTTTAGAGAGGGAGCAACACAGAGATCATTCCACAGTGCTGGACTGAGTGAGAGCAGGGAAAGGAAAATTTGTTGAAATCGGGTAGAGAGGAGAAAATCCTGGCTTTCAGGAACCACCAGGAAAGTGGCAAGATAGAGTTTCCATTGTTTATCTGCCACCTGACAATTTCCTGGGAACCCTTCTAGAACAATAAAACATGAATGAGTATTAATGCTAAGGAATAGTGGAGTGGCTAGTTTGTGTGATCTTCCTTAAAGAAGATCTGTTTCCTGGAAACTGGTATGCTTTGGGTAGGATTTCTTAGGGAGTAAAACTCTAATCCTTCTGTGTGGATTTTGCCACCATGGATCCTTGGTCTTCGACTTCAGCCAATTCTCAATATTCTCCTGTAGGTTTTATACTTGTCTTGGGTCATCTACTTTTCTCTTCCTTAAAACTTTTTTTTATAGCCTCCTTTCATATCCCTGACTACCTTCACCTTTCCTTCTGTTGGAAAACTTCTACTTTATGACAAAAATAAGGGCTCTTTGGCTGGGGCTTCTTCAACTTCCTCCCCTGAACTGCCAAGTGTATCTGGAAACTTCCCACTGTCTCGATCTCCTTCCCTCCAGCTTGAATGGAAAAGATATTCTTTCTGTTAATGGCTAATCCCTCTGCTGTGCTTTGAGTCCGCCTCTTCCTAGTCTCTCAGATGCCTCCTCCCATCCATCACCCCCTCTCATTTGTGCCTTTAACCTCTCATCGCATGCCTGTGTCGGAGCACCATCCGCTCTGGCTTAGATGATTGCCACATCCTATCACCTGTAGCCTCATTGCTTTTCTCCAGCCCAACAATACTTCTAGAGCAAATCTGACTACTTCTCTGCTTGAACTCCACAATCGCTTTCCATTACACTTAGAAAAAAAAATTCAAACTTTCTACCTTGATGTACAAACTTCCTATCATCATGCACAAAGATCCAGCCCTTATCTACTTCAACCCTCATTGCTTCTGCCCACCACTTGTAGTAGATTCTCCATGTGTTCAGCCACACCTCATCTGCAGATGGGTAGTGGCTGCTTGTACCTTCCTGCCCTGGCAACTGCTGCTACTTTATGATGTGATCTTTCCCACCTCTCCCTTCACTCAGCTAGCGATGACTCATCCTTTAGATCCTCAGTGGTGCTACACTGTCTTGTGCTTACTTCTGTGATCAGTTACCTGTAGCACTAGCTCGAGCCTTGGCATATACTAGAAATTTACTAGTTGTCTATCAAAGAAATGACCGATTAACTGAGTGAGTGCCGGCAGTGATGGTTACTGCCTTGACCCTTCTGGGACCCCGTGGGAAACCCAACTCTCCTCACTATGTTGGTCAATGTTGGTTACCCCAAGCTTCGCTCTTCTTCCCTGGCAGGCTCGCCAGATCCTGGAACAGACCCCAGTGAAGGAGCTGGTGAGCCTTAAGTGGAACAAATACGGGCGGCCATACTTCTGCGTGCTGGGGGCCTTGTACCTACTCTACATGGTGTGCTTTACCACATGCTGCGTCTACCGCCCCCTTAAGTTCCGTGGCAGTAACCGCACTAATTCTCGAGATAACACCGTCCTCCAACAGAAACTACTACAGGTGATTTTTCTCTGCAGGGGATGACAGGGATTGGTGGCATGCGGTGATGGTGCAGGAGACCAGAGTGATGTTACCCAGGAAAGATGTCACTCCCTAGGCTCGAGCAGTTGCAGGCTCTTAAACATCTGAGTAGAAATTAGGAGTGAGATCAGGGGGCCAAAGATGGGGCTTAGTGTGTAAAAGAGCATTCACCCAGGGAGCTGTGGGTTTTCTCACACAAACTTTGAAAGAGTGCTTGGTATTCACAACCCTGTCCATTAGTGAAATTCCTTGTAATTTACAAAGAGAACCAGCCTTTTGTAGTGGGATGGTTAAGGGAAACTCTCTTGTTCCAGAGGAGAAAAATGGTGCTCCCTGTCCATTTCTGAGTCCATTTCTGGGTATTAGGGCAGCACAGATCCTGGCAGGCACCCTTTCCTGTGTGCTGTCAATATGAGCCCATGGGAATGATGCATGAGTGGTCTGACCACCTGTCAGATATGCTGCGGAGGGACACCTGGATTGGGTAGCAGGTTGAAGTCAATATCCTCTGAGGTTTCTTTTACTGTTGTGGGCCTGCTAATCTGTGTTGTGGTGGCCAAGGGAGACCTGGGGTAGTGAAGAGGACTGGTTTGAGGTGTGGAGTAAATGCAAAGATCAGCTGTTGAAGGGAGCACACCCTCCTGTGTGTGCAAGAAAATAGTAGACTCTAATGAGCACTTCTGGACATATATATTCAACAAGCATTTCTACATTTGGGGGGTTGACTATTAATGGATTACTAAAATTTTTGTCCTGGTCAGTTAAAAATAGCCAAAAGGCAATGTGGGCGTGTGGGCAGAAAGCATATGATAGAGGATGAAGAATTTTGCAAAGCAAGTGAGAGCTGGGTGACTGGAGATCTCTACTATGGAGGATAGACCAGCCCTAATAAGCATAGCTCAGTCTGGACTAGGAAAAGGGGTAGTTTGGGTCAGAAAGAGAACATAAACTTCCTCCAGTCAAGAAACAAAAACCCTGAGTTGGGTTAGACCAAAGATAGTGGTATGCACAGAGAGAGAAGTGGAAAAAGAGCCTCAGTGGACCCCAAGCTAAGCAAAAACACTCCATCTCTCCTGTTTCTATAATTGCCTATCTATCTATCTATCATCTGTCTACCTGTCTATCTATCATCTATCTATCTACCTGTCTATCTATCTATCTACCTGTCTATCTATCTACAATGAGCTCATGTATTCACTTCCCTCACAAAGTACGGTTTGCTGCCTGGGAAGACAAGCCTGAATGTGTCATGGGGTGCCCATGGGGCTCCTGGGGGAGGTTGTGTTCCATGCATCTCAGTCTGCATGAAGGTTGTCCCTGGTGTGGAGACCACGTAAGGGGAGTAAGGACATTTAGGAGATGGCCAAGTGGGATGGGAGAGTGATTAGAAGTGGAGAATATGTGCAAACATGAGCGAGTTGGGGGTGTCTGGACTTTTCCAATGCTCCCGGCCCTGTTTGCTCAGATGTGTTTTTCCAAACCTTCCTTTGTCACGAACTTACTTTCCACGTTTAGAACATAGATGGTGTTCTAGCCTAAGAGTTGGGTGATGCTGAGCAATTGTTACCATGAAGTCTACTTCTTGTGTGTCTCTTTCTCTTTGAGACAGGACTATTTATGTACAAACACGTTTCTTTGACCCAAATTGTCTAAATTATATTTAAAAGGTCCCCTCCTTTTGCTTCAGGACTAGGAGGAACATGGTTAGAGCTGTGGGCCCTGTCCAGCCTTCTTTTCTCCTGTCTCGTCCTTCCTTCCTCCTCGTTAGTGTTTTTACCCTTTTGCCTCCTGCTTAGGTAGAAGCCACTTTGGCCCAAATAGAAGATTCTGGACTTTAAAGTATTCTTTTCTTGGTGGGGAAGGGGGTGGGGAAGAGGGTTAAGACTGCTGCTGTAAGGAGTTTAGATAGCGAAAAACACCAATGAAATGTCCCTATTCTTTGGGGTGAATCCTTAAGCCTCCATCCTGAGTTGATGGGATGTCTGTGTAACTCTTATGCAGTAGTAAGTTAATTTAGATTAGGTCAGGGGCTCCCAAACTTACCACCACGATTTGAATGATTCTGTTATCACAATGCACCAGATTTGGTGTTTTTTTTTTTTTCTTTTAATAGGAAATTTTCTTTCTTTCCTACTTTTTTATTACTTGAAAGTTTTAGAAAAATGAAAATGCACAAATACAGTGTCTTGACTTGATGAATGCAATTGTTGACATTAGCTAGGCTGTGGAACTTTTTCTTGGATGAATGAATATGTTAACATCCAATTATATTATATAAGTCTGGAAACACAGGGCTGTTAGTCACTGCATGACTTCCTCTGGGGATCTTTTGGGATCTGTGGAAATCACTGGGCTCCACAACCCCTAAGTGCCTTATAGTTGAACATCTGGGATTTTATGAGAGCAGCCTAACAGCACCATCTCAGGACAGTTGAAATGGAAGAAAACAAACTCCTCTGTTTCTATGAGGTAGCAAAACCTACACAAAGGTTGGTATCTGTAAACATGGAGTTAGTTTATCTCTATTCAGTTTGGGGGATATCTTAGAGACTCTAAGGTGCCTCATTGTTCAGCCATAAAAGTTCTGTTTTTCCAGGGTTTCCCAAGAACTATATTATTTCGAGGTAATTTTCTATTTCCATTCGTTTCTGCTTGGTTTAGGCAGAGCAGCGTGCACTATAGTACTAGTTCTTTCAGGTGTCCAGGTGAGTAAAAAGTTCAAAGTCCCAGAGTTAAGCAGCTTGAATTTTAGTCCTAGCTCTGAAATTAAATAGTGGTTTGACCACGGGCAAATCCTACCTCCTGCTAGACCTGTGGTTTTTAACCCAACCTGCACATTAGAAACCTGGGAAGCTGGTAAGACAACTGGCTCCTAGGCTACACCCCAGGCCTAATAAGTCAGAAAATTTGAAGCTGAGGCCCTGGACTTGGTATTTTAAAGAAATTCTTTCTAATGTTCAGCCAGGATTGAGAACTACTGGTTTCCATCTCTGAGATGTGTTCAGCCCCTCCCACCCATTCTCAGGCCCAGCCCTCTGCTCATTTGGAGTCCTGGTGTGCTGTTTGGTAGGAGGGCACTAATCTTCCATCATCCCTTCCCCTCCTTGTCTCTCAAAAAAGGTTCCCTCAAGCTCTCCTTTGCCCTTTCCTTTCCCAGAAACATTTCACTAATTCATTCATTCACCAAATAGTTACTGAGAACCTCGTAAAGGCTGAACGCTGCTCTAGGTGTTGGAAATTCAACAATCATAGTCTGCGCAAAACTCACGTGATCTCTGCCTTTCTGGAGTTTACAGACTGGTTTACATTAATCAAATGATCATATGAATAGATATTGCATTACAACCTGTGATTGTTATCATTAACGTTATATTTTCCTAGGATAATGAAAAGGAAAGAGTGCCAGGAGACCTTATAACAAGGTCCATGTACCTCTGGGACGCCAGAAAAGGTGTCCGAGGAAGGTAATTGAGCTGAGATCTGGGAACAAGTTCAAGGAGGAAAGAGAGCTCTAGGCAGAGAGGGTTCGGATTCAAAGCCTCTGAGGCAGGAAGAACCTTGCCAAGGTCTAGGGACTGAGAGAAGTTTCACTAACACACAGGGAGACAGGAAGTTGGGGTGGGTGCCTCCAGGTGAGGTTGCACAGGCAGATCCTTCCCAAATCGTGCAGAGATTTTTCAGGCCATGCTGAGGATTTTACTCCTTATCTCCAAGGTAATGGGAGCACAGAAGGGCTTTAGACAAGGGAAGAATTTGACCACGTTTTTGTTTTAGAAAAATGACTTTGCTTGCAGGGTGGAGAACAGATGTGAGGAGACCAGTCAGGAGACTATTATAGTTGAGCAAGCAAGAGAGCAGGGGGGTTGGCCTGGGAATGCGAAGGGGAGGGAGATGGAGGTAAGGGGTTGGCCTCAGGAGATTTAATGAAGGTAAAGTCATCTCTGCTGTGTGGTGGATTGGATGCAGAGGGTGGGAGGGGACAGCCTCAGGAAGGACAGGTCGGTTTCCATCCTTTTAAAATCATCTTCTACCTGCCACAATCAGTGCTATCGATTTGTCTACACATCATCATTCCTATAAGTTCTGCACAAGCCAAAGCACCACAGGAATTTGAAAAAGCAACTGGTCTACAACTCTACACAACTTTGTTTAGGGGTCCTACCCACCCCCTGTGGAACAAGCACAGCACATTAAAGACAGGGAAAGAGATGAGGAACCGCATCACCGAGTGCTTACTATGCACACTTTACATGCATATTACCCATACTTTTGAGATCGTGTAAAATGTCATTAGATTCAGCAATGCCACTACTGGGCATCTACCCAAAGGAAAAAAAGTCACTCTATAATAAAGACATCTGCAC